CACAAGGGGGATGTCCCTGATGTTTTGATCCCCTGGATCCGCGCTACTCGTCTCCAGCTCCGCGAGCGGTTCCAGTCGGACTTTCCTGTCCTGCGTCTGCACTCTGACAGAGGTGGTGAGTTCTCCTCAGACCTCTTGGCAGCCTTCTGTGCGGAGCACGGCATCCGCCAGACTTTCACGCTTCCGGCCTCTCCTCAGCAGAATGGGGTTGCTGAGCGCCGCATTGGCTTAGTCATGGAGGTCGCTCGCACCTCCATGATCCATGCGACTGCCCCCCATTTTCTGTGGCCGTTTGCGGTCCGGTACGCCGCGCATCAGCTCAACCTTTGGCCCCGTGTCTCCTTGCCGGAGACCTCGCCCACACTGCTGTGGACGGGGAATGTTGGCGACGCATCGCGTTTCCGGGTCTGGGGTGCTCGTGCCTTTGTCCGCGATACCACCGCGGACAAGCTCTCCCCTCGCGCCATTCCTTGTGTCTTCCTTGGCTTTGTCCCTGACGCGCCTGGCTGGCAGTTTTACGACCCCGCCTCGCGCCGTGTCATTGCGTCTCAGGACGTCACCTTTGACGAGTCCGTCCCCTTTTACCGCCTCTTCCCCTACCGCACTGCTCCTCCCCCCCCCCCGCCGCTCTTTCTCGCCCCAGGTCCTCCCCAGGTAGACCCCCTCCCCGCGCCAGGTCCTGCTCCTTCAGGTGTCTCTCAGGTAGACCCCCCCAGGCCTGCGCCTGTTGAGGTCACTGGTGACTCCGGTCCTGCTGCGAGTGGTGCTGTCCCTGGGGGTACGGAGCTTGGGGGTGCTGAGTCTGGGGGCGCTGAGCATGAGGAGCCTGGGGGTGCTGCGTCTGGAGGTGCTGCGTCTGGGGGTGCTGCGCCTGCGTGTGCGGAGCCTGGGGGTGCTGAGTCTGGGGGTGAGTCGCCTGAGGGTTCTGCGACTGCTTTTCCACGGTCTCCTTGGAGTAGCCGTCTTCGTCCACGTGTGCCCCTCACCTCCCAGCAGCTGCACGACTGGTACGGTCGCCGTCAGCGTCGCGCTTCTGCGCCTCAGGGCTCTACTGCTGGGGGTTCTTCTGCTGGTGTCGCTGGTCCCGGAGGTGCTCGTACTGAGAGTACTGGAGCTGCTGGGGGTGGCGGTGTTGTGACTGAGGGTGCTAGAGCTGCTGAGGGTGCTGGAGCTGCTGAGGGTACTGGAGCTGCTGGAGGTGCTGGCGGTGCTGGAGCTGCTGAGGGTACTGGAGCTGCTAGCGGTGCTGGAGCTGCTGAGGGTACTGGAGCTGCTGGAGGTGCTCGACCTGCTGAGGGTCCTGGCGCTACTGACGGTGCTGGAGCTGCTGGAGGTGCTGGAGCTGCTGGCGGTACTGGAGCTGCTGGTGCTGGTGGCACTGCTCAGCAGCGCCTGTTCTTCGCTCCGCCGTCTCCGTCGTCTCAGCCACCACCTGACTCTGCACTTCGCCAGGTTCTCAGTCTTCCCTCGTCTACTGGTCTTCCGTTACAGCCTGGCTCATCGCTGCCTGCTCCTTCTCCGTACACAGCGCAGACTAGGGGCCTTGCTGAGCGTCGTGAGCCTGCGTCGCGTCCTGTCTCCCCTGTCCGTTCTGGTCGTTCCGGTAGTAGTGTTCCTCGTCAGCAGCAGCCGGCTGTCTCCGGATCTCACCTTGTAGTTCGTCGTCCTTCCTCTCCTCCGCTGCGTGTTCCTCTGCCGTCTCCCCCTACGTCCTCTCTGCCTGTCGTTGCTGACCCTGCGTCTGACCAGTTTTGTGCTGAGCACTCTACTGTCACGCGTCTGCTTGCCACTGTTGTCACTGACCCGTCGTTTGAGTCTGCTGCTGCGTCTGCCTTAGTCGTTGAGCTTGTTGACTTTGCTGCTGCCTGTCGTCTCGACTACGCCGCCAGACTTGTTGCTGAGTCTGAGTCTGTCTGTCCTCCGTCCGTCGGGGGTGAGTGTGCTCTTGGCACGGACGTCCTTGAGGACAGACAGGAGGACCTTGAGTGTCTTGCAGCCGCTGCGCCTCATCTCGTATCCATGCTGCTTGCCCCTGAGGGAGACCCGGATGCACCAGACATCCCTACCCCGCGCTCTTACGCTGAGGCGATCGCGGGTGAGTACTCCTCTCAGTGGCAGACAGCCATGGACGCAGAGATGGCATCCTGGAAGTCCACATGCACCTACGTCGACGAGGTTCCCCCTCCTGGGGCGAACATTGTCAGTGGCATGTGGATTTTCAGGGTGAAGCGGCCGCCAGGTTCTCCGCCTGTCTTCAAGGCTCGGTACGTGGCTCGAGGCTTCAGTCAGCGAGAGGGAGTTGACTTCTTCCAGACCTTCTCCCCCACCCCAAAGATGACCACTCTTCGGGTGCTGCTGCACGTTGCCGCTCAGCGTGACTACGAGCTTCACTCTCTTGACTTCAGCACAGCCTTCTTACAGGGTAGCCTGCACGAGGAGATTTGGCTGCGCCGCCCTCCTGGCTTCACTGGGTCGTTCCCTCCTGGTACCCAGCGGAGCCTCCGGCGGCCGGTCTACGGTCTCCGCCAGGCGCCACGTGAGTGGCACGACACACTGAGGACGACACTTGCGGCTCTTGGGTTTGCTCCGTCGACTGCTGACCCGTCGCTGTTTTTGCGCACCGACACTTCTCTGCCGCCATTCTACGTTCTCGTGTACGTCGACGACTTGGTCTTTGCCACTGTTGACACTGAGGCTCTCGCCCTGGTGAAGTCGGAGCTGCAGAAGAGACACACGTGCACAGACCTGGGTGAACTGCGCAGCTACCTTGGCTTGCAGATCACCCGGGACAGAGCACGCCGCACCATCACACTGACTCAGTCACACATGGTGCAGCAGGTCCTTCAGCGCTTCGGTTTCACCTGGTCCTCAGCACAGGCCACTCCTCTGGCTACAGGTCACTCGCTCTCAGCTCCACCTTCGGACGAGTCCGTAGAGCCGAGTGGTCCTTACCCAGAGTTAGTGGGCTGCCTCATGTACCTGATGACTTGCACTCGTCCTGACCTTGCGTACTCTCTTGGCCTTCTGGCTCGCTACGTGGCTCCTGGTCGGCACCGAAAGGCGCACATGGATGCTGCCAAGAGGGTACTACGCTACTTGTGCAGTACATCGGGCATGGGGCTCGTGCTTGGAGGACGGGGTGACGTTGTCCTCACAGGTCACTCGGACGCCTCTTGGGTTGATGACCAGGCTACGCAGCGGTCGTCACAGGGTTACACCTTCAGCCTTGGTTCTGGTTCAGTTTCCTGGCGTTCTACACGTTCGTCTTCAGTTCTCGGCTCTAGCTGTGAGGCAGAGATCTACGCCACAGCCATGGCTGCACAGGAGCTGCGCTGGCTCACCTACCTGCTGGCCGACTTGGGAGAGAGGCCTCGTTCTCCTCCAGTTCTGTACGTCGACAACAAGGCCGCCATTGCCTTGTGTCAGGAGCACAGACTGGAGCACAGAACAAAGCACATCGCTCTCCGTTACTTTCTTGCTCGAGAGCTGCAGCAGCGTAGCCAGCTTCGTCTTACCTACGTGGCCACTCGGGCCAACACTGCTGATATATTCACCAAGGCGCTTCCGCCTGGTGATCATCAGCGTTTCTGCACTTTGTTAGGCCTTGTGCCCACTCTTCCTCACTTGCTGTAGGCCTTGTTTGTACCATGATTTATATGTATTCCTGCATGCTTGTTCTTGTAGGTAGATATCACTGTACTGTTGTTGTTACATATATATTTCTGCATGTGAACTGGCCTTGTGGCCTTCTTGCTTGTGCTCAGACTGCGTGGTGACGTTGTGATCCACCCTGAGCTTGCTTTGCACTTCCTGACTGGTCTTGTGACCCTCTGTTTTCCCCCACTTTGCCTATGGGGGTGTGTCAAACATATGCATATATGTGTCATAGTTTGGGGTAGGCTTAGTGGGGTACTTACTGTGGGGTACAACCCCTTGGGTTTTCACTTTGTATCAAACTCTCTCGATAGTCAATCACACTTTTCCCGTAAGTTTCTTAACAAGAATATATACTATGATAAAGTACCTATTCGCTTAATGTACCTATTAGCCTGAAACGGTACGTGACTATTCGCGATACCTATAGCTACTGCTGACGTCATCCTAGGGCGCGTAGCGCTTTGCTGACGTCAGCCTATCGGTACTTATACTGTACTAACTATACTACACGAATTCCTTGAAGTGCACAAGTCTCGATATTATCTCAACACGCCAAAACCCGTGGATTCAGACTCATAAATGTTGACAACTATTGACGTTGACATCAGAGTGCTTTCATGTTTCAATGTACCAATTTGCAGGCACACGCCCTGAATTGGATTTCACTCCTTCCATTCGTTTTGTTTAGTGGCCTACATAAATAGCGAAGATGCATGTTTTTCAACCGATGGGAAAATAATATATGCTCTACTTTCCGCATGGCGCTAGTGTAGTCAGCTCACACAAATGCATCCTCAAATTGACTCAATTGTATCCCTCATTACCAAAGCCGAATCTTTCCGCGCCTGTGACGCAAGCCCAGGGTTGAACAACAACAGATCTAGCCCACAGCCACTCTCACTCAATTGCGAAATCAGTTATATCGTTATTGAAATCGTTTGTGGCTTCGCAACCCAACATCCGCCGCAACTGTCGCTTCTGGAAGCTGGCGAGTTTCGTCTGAGCTGGAGCCCGCTCAGCACGCATTCGCCCCGTGCTACCACTGCCAGCCAGCCAGCCAACTATCTATTCCCTGAATCTCGGTTTTCACTTTTCCCATGCTCAGTCCCTGAATCTAGTTTCTTCTTGCCTGATCTGAAATCCCCTAGGTTATTTCACTTGCTGGTTTCAGTTTCCTTTGCCTTCCTTCATTCCTTCCTTCCTCCTGAGTGCTTTCCTGATCCCTAGGCTTCTTATACCCTGATCCCATAGCTGCTGGTGCTATAGGCTCAGGAATTTCAGGATTTGTATTTTAAACCTTTTTTTCTTTCACACACGTTACTTAATTACTGTACGCTGGCACCATGGTGTCCGATGGCTCTGGTCCTGCCGCTTCTGGCCCTGCAGCCACTGCCGACTGGGCTTTCGAGGTAAGCCGTAGGAGATGCCTCACGAGCGATCAGGATCAGAGATTAATATATAGATGAACTGATTACTCTCTTTAAGATCCGTGTTCGCAACCAACTATACGACGAGGAAACCGATCTTGCATATTACAAGTCGTTAGTAAGGTTCCGCTTAGATTCTTCCTTCGATCCCGCTGATCTGCTCGTCAGGATCTAATTTAGGGTGCGAAAGGATGAATACCTCGTGCGCGTGTTCGTAACGGTAGTCCTTCCTTCCAAGTTCGTGTTGCAAAGCTATTTCTTAGGCGTGTCGAAAAGCGCCGTTTACCGAATTTCCCTTCACCCGCAGGTCGGAAAGGCGTTCGCGTCGCAGTACTATACCGTGATGCACACGCAACCGCACGATGTGCACAAGTTTTACGTCGACGAGAGCAAATTCACGCGCGCCGAGCGCCTCGGCATTCCCGGGGAAACCGTGACGACCATGCAGGTGCGTATTGCCATGACGGAATCCGTCGATTGGCTTAAAGGGTCTGTGACGACCATCCAGGTGCGTATCGCCGTGACGGAATTCGTCGGATATGGGTCATAAGATCGGTTCGTCACAAGCAGCTGAGCTGGTTGAAGAAACGTTACTAGCTGCAAGGAAATGGAAGGACCGCATCAGTGTGAAGGTACATGAAGGAATACTCTGGTGTACCAACCTTGAGGAAATTGCATTGTTGTCTGGAAATGAGCACTCCATTATTTTTAACTGGCGGCGTGGAAAAATGGGTTACTGATATTCCTCATGCTTGTGTGGGTGTGTGTACATTGGGGTTGCGGGTCATATGCTTGTGGGGTTTTCATGATCTGTATGGCCTGAATGGAATGTGGCTAGGCTTGGTTGCCTGGTATTGCATGTGTGGCTTGTATTGTTTGTATGGCTTGTATGTGGGTTTGCCTTTTCCCGCACTTGTACATGGCGTGTTCAGGGTATCCACACCAAGGTAATGTCATTGGATTCATGTGAAGTCAAAGCGGAGATCAAATCCGTGGATTGCCAGGAGTCACTCTCCGGCGGCGTTCTGGTGGTGGTAACCGGCGCGCACTGTTACGCCAGCACTTCGGGCGGCCCGGGCGAGCGACGCGGCTTCGTGCAGAGCTTCTTCCTCGCGCCGCAGCAGAACGGCTTTTACGTCCTTAACGACATCTTCCGGTTCTTAGAAGACGCGCCGCCGCCGCAGCCGCCCGCCGTAGTTAAACACGCTGTCGGCGGCGGGACTAAGTCGAACGCGTCTGCCGCCGGATCAGCTGCAGCTGCTGCAGCCGGGAGTGGGTCTCAGGCAGGTCTGGTGAACGGGCATGCGTCGGATCAAGCGGCAGGGTCCCGGGAGGTTACATCTGTGGATCACGCCGTGCGAGATGTAACGGTCGACGAGGCGTCCCAAGCGTCCGCGTCTCAAGCCGCCGCGTCTGCCGCCGCGCCCAGCGCCGCAGCCGGCGGAGCCGGGGCTCCCCCGGCCGCGGACGACGGCGCAGCGGGGGAAGAGGTGCAGGTGATTCGGGAGGTACCTGAGTCTGTTGTCTCCGTGAATCAGGGTCAAGGGCAGGGAGCCGCTGCAGCAGCGGCCGAAGCGGAGAAGGCGGAACCTTCGGTTGTGTCTTCCGCCCCAGTTTCCGCGCCTGCCGTCCTTCCGAGTCCTGCGGGCGGGGAAGCGGCTGCGGGAGTGGTGCCACAAGCGCCAGGGGCTGCGGCGGCAGCTGTAGCACCAGCTGTAGCAGCGGCACCCACAGCAGCAGCAGCAGCAGCAGCAGCAGCTCCGCCTGCAGCCGCGGTAGCGCCGCCAGCAGCGGCGGCGGCACCAGCTGTAGCGGCAGCACCTGCTGCTGCGTCCGCGTCTGATGAACCCGCTCCTAAGAAGTCTTACGCTTCCATTGTGAGTTCTTTCTAAACCCTGTTTAACCCTCTTTCCCTCATCTCAACCCAGCCCACCAGCCAAATCGTCCATCCCGTGCCTTGCTTGAGACTCACTTGTCCAATCCGTACCACACGTCCCTCCCCCATCACACCCCTACAGCTGCAAGCCATGCGCGCGCAATCCGCAGCTGCCTCACCCGCGGGCGCCTCCGCGGGCGCATCTTCCGCGCCTGTCTCCGCCACTCCCCCCGCAGCTGCGCCTCTGGGGGCGGTTGCGTCCAGGCAGCCGCCGCTGCTCCCTGCCGCAGCAGTTGGGGGGGCTGGGGCGTTTGGGGCGCAAGAGGCAGCGCCGTCTGGAGCAGCAGCTGGGTTCTCTGCTGGTTTGCTTGCTCCTGCGCCTGGGTTCGCTGCTGCTACTGGTGGTGGAGCGCAAGAGGATGCTAATGCTGCTGACGACGGTAGGAACGATGTTGAATGCAATGCCCCATGACCATAAGGGAGAGTGGTGGGAGACGATGGCAGAGTAGTTGAGCACTGGGTTGTGTTCACATCTCTTGGTCTACTGTTGACCCAATGTGTTGCTGTCCCCCCTCTACTTGTGCTCCGTTCGCCTCAGCTGCAGGGAAGGCTGGGCTGGACCGTGCTTGCTTTGGCTGGTTTATGTTGATCCATTTATTGCTGCTGCTCTACTCTTGCTTGGCCCCCTAGTGTGACTTTTGAGTTGACGCACTTGGAAGGCTGGGCTGGGCCTTGTTGCTTTCCCTGGCAGTGCTGTGTTTATGCAACCTTCCAGTGCGGTATGCTGTCAAGGAGATTGCCGATCAGTTTGGTCCTTCTCCCCCCGTGCATGTGCGCTATGCATGTCTTACAGCTGCAGGGGAGGGGCGCGCTGTGTTTGTGCGCAACCTGCCTGTGCGCATTACTGGCAAAGAGATTGCAGAGCATTTCAGTCAGTTTGGAGCAGTGAAAGCCGACCGGATTCAAATTCGAGGCAACAAGGTGTGGTGTCCCTTTCTGCCTAATCCGAGTCTAAGAATCCACTCATTTCTCACCGTAAAGTTCATATTAACATCACTGTATGAGGCAGCTAGTTTTTTTTTCAGGCTGTCACCTTATTCCTTTTCCTCCTCTAAGTTATCCGTCTTTTTTCCTTTCTTCTATTTTTATTATTATTTTCTTCCTTGAGTCTCGCTCGGTATCACGTTGATTTTTTGGCTTTGCCCTTTTCCCATCAGGCTAACAGCCCTCAAGTGTGTACGCAGTGTTGAATCAACTCATAACATTGTCGTGATCCCAATTTATTTCTCCCTCTCCTCATCAGGCCAACAACCCCGCTACAGTGTACACGTTTGTGGAGTTTGAGGAACCTGCAGCAGCACAAGCAGCAGTCGAGATTAAAATGCTTTTGTGTTGCCATTCCCTTCGTGCTCTTTCCTCATCAGGCCAACAACCCCGCTACAGTGTACGCGTTTGTGGAGTTTGAGGAACCTGCAGCAGCACAAGCAGCAGTCGAGGTCAGTAGCAGGGTTTGGGGTTTTGCGTTTGCTGCAACAAAAGCTGTTGGCACGTATTGTGAAAGCTCCTGAATGGTTAGCTGTTTGGTTCTCCCCATAAACCCTGAATCTCATTGTTGAAACCCTTCATGTGTTTGCGCGTGGGCAGAAACAATCCATCATGGTGGGGAATTTCCAGGTGAAGATTGAAGAGAAGAAGGCTACAAGCACTGGCCGAGGTGAGCCCTGAAAAAAAAAAAAAAACAAACAAACAAACAAAATAAACAAAACAAGGCAAGCCGTTGTGGTGTGCCATCTGGTTGTCCATGGACAGAAGCAATCGATCATGGTGGGGAGTTTCCAGGTGAAGATCTAGGAGCAGAAAGCACTGGCCTAGGTAGGTATCTTGCAAGAAGCCACCCGCACGAGTGTGCATGCACACTCACACACAGCACAGCACACACACGCTTTATCAAACACACGAACAGGGAAACGTGGACTTTAGCAGCATGAATCTCTTTCTCCTTCCTTGTTATCCTCAGCTTGAGCCCACACCCATCCTCCCATCCCCTCAACCCCTCTCTTCTCCTCTCCTGAAGCTCGCATCGTCGCACAGGGGCCGGCTACAGTGATGTTAAAGGCGCCTCAAAATTCATTCCATACTCTTCTCCTGCCTCGTGCCCCATGCCTCGTGCCCCGCCTCCTCCGTCCTCTCCTCCCCTCCCCCCAGGCTCATACCGTCGCACGGGAGGCGGCCGTGGCGGCTCGGATCGCCAATTCCGCGACGGCAGCAGCAACTTCGGTGGTGCTGCTACTGGTGGTGGTGCTGGCGTTGGTGGGGTTGGTGTTGGTGGTGCTGCTGCTGCTGGTGCTGGTGTTAGTGCTGGTGCTGGTGCCGGTGGCAGTGTTGGTGTTGTCAGCAACAGGGGCGGGCGTGGGGGGTCAGGCTTCGGTTCTCGAGGTCAGCAGCAGGTGCAGGGACAGGGACAGTGGCAGGGGCAGCAGGGGCAGGGTCTGACCGGACAGGGGGTGCAGGTGCAAGGATTCCAGCAGAATCAGGGAATACAGGGGTTTCAGCAGCAGGGGTATGGGGGAGGTGATGGGGTGAGTGGGGCGGGGCAGGGGGGATGGTCGTCGAGTGGGGGTGGGAGGGGGAGAAGAGGGGGGCAGGGGCGGACAGGAGGGAGTAGAGGAGGGGGTCAAGGAGGGGGGGTTGCAGTGGTTGCACCATCGTAAGTGACCGTACTGTGGGAGGTGTTTTCGTTGCATTTTCATCATGGGTTGCTTGCTAGGTCATCTCTCCGCCACTTCTATCCCATCACCATTGCGTCTTGTGCCATTGTAGGTTGGTGTCATTAGCATCATCTTCATTCGTTTGTGGGAAAAAAGGACTGTTGCTCGTTCAGGTTACGAACCAAGGTTCACGAGTTGAACCTGACTATGGTAGGGACCTCTTATTCGTGCAGCTGCTGACAAAGTTCGCTCACAGAAAAGGATTAGGGTTCAAGGTTCCTCTGTGCTGCAGGCACGGGCTCTTTTGGCAGCAGGCCTTTGGGCTGGCGTGGCAATTAGCTGAGTTTTCTTTAAGCTGGTCTGGGGAGCAGGAAGAGGCTTGTCCTCTCTTTCTTGGCTGGCCTGGCCAGTGCGTTTTCTTGTGAAACAAATATTGTATCGTAGACGATGAAAGGCTCAAGGATCTGGAGACGTAACACATATGATGGAGCAATATAATGCACCGCCTCTTTTTACTCTGCCAGATATCATCAATCGTTTCTAATGTTGATTTTTAACGACTACTAGCAATTACTGTTGACTTGCAGAAAAGATAATCATCACATAAACTCTGCCAATAACGATATAGTGAGAGGATAATAAGCAGCCTAACAGAAACTTGAGTTTTTGCTAATAACATTAGTCCTTTCTCTTGCTGTAACAAACGCCCCAGAAAACGATTCGCTAAAACTTTCGCGTCGACAATCTCTAGACGACAGAAATCTTCACTTTCTGGAATTTTCGCGTCTGCGAGCCTGCTTTCTGGAGGCTCCTGTCAGGCAACACCAATGCTTCCAGAACTGCACCAATATTCAACCGTCCCTAACCCGTCTTAAAGTCCAAAGAAACTCAAACAAAGTTTCAGAGGAGCAGTTAGCAGCTCGCCATTACATTAGTAGCTTCATTCCAATTTCTGTGGGAGTGACATTGTTTCTCTGGACGGGAAAAAACAGACGGCAGATGGTGTTCGTACTGTGAAAGCTGATTGCACGAATAGTTGCTGCTTCCAATCCAGTTAGAAGTACCATGCGCTGCGAAGCCATAACAAAAGAGCCTATCAAATTACTTGTCGAGAGCCGATGACCTCCCTGAATTGTTGGAACTTCAACCCGTGAGCATCGGAAATTTTAAATAGGAGGAGGAACGACGGATCATCATCATGGCGGATTCGGCCGGACCGCCTGTGGCGAGTCTGCAGCTGGCGAAGCCTCGCAGCATGTTCCTCTGCGGCTCGCTGCCGGTCTGGCTGGACCGCGAGTTCACCACGCTCGAGTTCTCTCCGGGCATATCGAGATCTCTCTTCAGCGATAGGTGCGTGTTTTGAGTCGACTCAAAAGCAAGTCTGGCTCGACCGCGAGTTCACCACGCTCGAGTTCTCTCCGGGCATATCAAGGTCTTTCAGCAGTGACAGGTGCGCGAATCTCGATGCCCCTCAGAATGGTTCTCTCCTGGAATATCAAGATCTCTCTTCAGTGACAGGTAAGTGTCGATGCGCCTCCAGCATCCTCAGACTCCCCTTCATGATTTTCCAGGTCCTTTTTCAGCAACTGGTGACACGTTTTTATTCTTACCAACATCTACTTTCTCGCCAAGATTTGCCGTCTTCTGCCTCTAAATCCAACGGTCCTCGGTTCGTCACTTCTCACCTGGCCAATCCTTTGGTCCGTTCCCCTCTCCCACAGGACTCCCGGCATTCCCAAGGTGGTCCCTCCACCAGTCCGACCGTCCCTGGACACCCACCCACCCGCATGGCTCCACCGGGACAACATCCTCCTGCCAGTCGACCGGCCCTCGGACCCTCCAGGCTCCACCTGGGGGGGATCGTATCTGCAGCACAGTGGCGCGCGCAAGTGCGAGGCGCTGGCGGTGAGGGGGCTGGCGGAGTTTGGGGAGGACGCAGTGGACGTGATAGCGCCCGCGGACGTGCTCAAGCAGCTGTTTAAACTGCCGTTTTCCAAAGCGAGCCTGTTTGTCAGCGTGCACCGCGTCGGCCGAACGCTCGTGCTCAACCCAGGGTATGTAGGGCTGCTTTTGAGGCACTTCAAGTTCAGCCCACCCAGGGTGAGTGCGTGCTGTCTTTGAGGCGCCTCAGGTGTCAGTAGATGTGATGTGAGTGCGCCTGCTGACATGAGGCACTGGCGGTGAGGGGGCTGGCGGAGTTTGGGGAGGACGCAGTGGACGTGATAGCGCCCGCGGACGTGCTCGAGCAGCTCTTCAAGCTGCCGTTTTCCAAGGCCAGCCTCTTTGTCAGCGTGCACCGCGTCGGTCGCACGCTTGTGCTCAACCCCGGGTGAGTGCTGCTGCTACTGGGAAAAGCCTTGCCCTGAGGTGGACGTGATAGCGCCCGCGGACGTGCTCAAGCAGCTCTTCAAGCTGCCGTTTTTGAAAGCGAGCTTGTTTGTCAGCGTGCACCGTGTTGGGCGCACGCTTGTGCTCAACCCAGGGTGAGTGGTCTCAGAGTGAGGGATGATGCGGGGGAAACCTCACCCTGGGGTGGACGTGATAGCGCCCGCGGACGTGCTCAAGCAGCTCTTCAAGCTGCCGTTTTCCAAGGCCAGCCTCTTTGTCAGCGTGCATCGTGTCGGCCGCACGCTAGTGCTCAACCCCGGGTGAGTGAGGGCTTTTGAGGCAAGTGGTAACTCCAGCGTGAGGCAATTCGTCTGTCCCTACTGGTAACTCCCGCTACTCTCACCCTCCTCCTCGCATTCCAACTCTCCTCCTCCCTACCATCCCCTCTCTGCATCTTTTCATCCCCACCCGTGTTTCCCCATGCTCCTCTCAGCCCCGAGCCTGGCTGTGTGGACTCCCACAAGGTCGCACGCTCCTCCAGGGGGCAACGCACCACAAATGGCAGTGCTCCTCTCCAAGCTGGTAGCCCAGTGTTACACTCAGCTTCCTCCACTCATCCCCACCCGTGTTTTCCCCATGCTCCTCCCAGATCCGAGCCTGGCTGTGTGGACTCCCACAAGGTCGCACGCTCCTCCAGGGGGCAACGCACCACAAATGGCAGTGCTCCTCTCCAAGCTGGTAGCCCAGTGTTACACTCAGCTTCCTCCACTCATCCCCACCCGTGTTTTCCCCATGCTCCTCCCAGATCCGAGCCTGGCTGTGTGGACTCCCACAAGGTCGCACGTTCCTCCAGAGGGCAACGGGAGGCGATTCTTCTTTCCAAGCTGGTAACCCCGGAGTTACACAGTCAGCAAGCCGCGTCTTCTAGCAGTGAACATACCAGCAGAGGCATCAGGAGCAGCAGCACTAGCGCCATCGGCTCGACTACAGCTTCTGGTGGTGCCGGCAGTAGCAACAGCAGCAGCAGGAGCAATAGCAGCAGCACAAGTAGCAGAAACAACAATGGTTCAAGAAAAGGTCTGCCTTCTTGCAACTCTGCTGCTCTACCAAAAACCTTCACGGATTTTGTGGGAGATGCGGAAGGCGTGGTGCGAGTGTGCGACCATAAAAGTCAGCAGCAGCAGCAGCAGCAGCAGCAGCAGCAGCAGCAGCAGCAGCAGGAGCAGCAGCAGACTTTTGAAACGCCTCGAAAAAGCTTTGCAGATTTTGTTGGGGATGCGGAAGGCGTGGTGCGAGTGTGTGAGCACGGTAGCCAGCAGCAGCAGCAGCACCAAAAGGAACAGCAGCAGTGGAAGCAGCAGCAGCAGCAGCAGCAGTTTGGGCCGCAGAAAACTGTTGTCTCTGACGCCAGCCTGACACCCCTCTCTAGCCTCGCACCTTCCGTTGGTGGTCTGAGTCAGATTGAAGCTGCTGAAGGGGAAAATGAAGTGAAAGAGGAGGAAGAGAAGAACAAGGAGGAGGAGGGGAAGGAGGAGGAGGAGGAGGAGCAAGAGGAGGGGTATGCGCAATGGGAGGGCTCTGGGAAGAGCAAGTCATGCACCAAGCGGGGAAGAACAGTAGAGGGCGGTAACAGAGGAGGAGCGGGGAAGCGAATGGAAACAGAGGGAGGAGGAGGAAGAGAGGGGAAACGAATGGAAGCAGGAGGGGGAGGAGTTGAGGCAGAGAGAGGGGCGGATGGGTTTGCGCGGGTGGTGTTCTGGCAGTTGGAGCACCTGAGGCTGTTCCTGGGAAGCGACCTGATTCTGTTCAGCAATGAGAAGCATGCTGCTGTCAGCCTTCACCTGGTTGACGTGGAGCATGAGGTAGGTTCTTGCTGCTTCAAGGTGACAATGTTTTGTAAGTCCCTTCAACAGGAGATCTGATTCTGTTCAGCAATGAGAAGCATGCGGCTGTCAGCCTTCACCTGGTTGACGTGGAGCATGAGGTAGGTTCTTGCTGCTTCAAGGTGACAATGTTTTGTAAGTCCCTTCAACAGGAGATCTGATTCTGTTCAGCAATGAGAAGCATGCGGCTGTCAGCCTTCACCTGGTTGACGTGGAGCATGAGGTAGGTTCTTGCTGCTTCAAGGTGACAATGTTTTGTAAGTCCCTTCAACAGGAGATCTGATTCTGTTCAGCAATGAGAAGCATGCGGCTGTCAGCCTTCACCTGGTTGACGTGGAGCATGAGGTAGGTTCTTGCTGCTTCAAGGTGACAATGTTTTGTAAGTCCCTTCAACAGGAGATCTGATTCTGTTCAGCAATGAGAAGCATGCGGCTGTCAGCCTTCACCCCGGGGACGTGGAGCATGAGGTAGGCTTGTCTCTCTATAAGGTGAGAAAGGTCGAGATCCCCTTAACAGGAGATCTGATTCTGTTCAGCAATGAGAAGCATGCTGCCGTCAGCCTTCATTTGATGGATGTGGAGCATGAGGTACACTCTTGCTGCTTGGCGCTTGCACTGCTATTCGAGGTGCCTGGAGAATCGTCTCTTTTTTTGTGGTGCGCTCTTGCTGCTTGCACTGCATGCTCTTTTAAGGTAGCCACACGAGTCAGCAGCACCCATATCACCCTATTTCCTATCCCCATATGAACGTATTCCCTAACCTCCCAACATGGTCAGAGCTCCCCTCTCTTCCCCTCCCCATCCAGAACTCCCCGCTCGTATGGCTGGACATCTGGTATGTTGTGCTCTAGAGGCGGCTCAATTGCCCCTTACCACCCACCCATGTGCCCCCCACCCCATCCAGAACTCCCCTCTAGTGTGGCTCGATATATGGCTGGATAACCTGATGGCGGGGGTACCAGAGCTCCCCGTCTGCTACCACCGCAAGGGCAATGCTTATCTCCCCACCCACTTCCTTCCCTTCCTGACCGCACCCCTGTCACCCCTATCCAGAATTCCCCCCTCGTATGGCTCGATATTTGGCTGGACAACCTGATGGCGGGGGTGCCGGAGCTGGCCGTCTTCTACCAACTCAAGAGCTGCATTCCCCTCTCTTCCCCTCCCTATCCAGAACTCCCCTCTAGTGTGGCTCGATATATGGCTGGATAACCTGATGGCGGGGGTGCTGGAACTGGCCGTCTTCTACCAACTCAAGAGCTGCATGCCCCCTCTCTTCCCCTCCCTATCCAGAACTCCCCTCTAGTGTGGCTCGATATATGGCTGGATAACCTGATGGCGGGGGTGCCGGAACTGGCCATCTGCTACCACCGCAAGGGGGTCGTGCAGGGCTACGAGCTGCTGCACTGTGACGACGTGTTTCTGCTCAAGTGCCTCGCTAGGGACGGGTCAGCATCGTTTTACCCCCACGCTGTGAGGGACAGTGCGCTCGCCATCCTGGGGTTCCTGCAGGACAAGTGCGTGCGCAGCCCCGGCACCTACTGGGTGAGTGCCAGGCGCTCTGGTTCTTACTGTCTGAGCTTGTACGAGCAATCAATGCGTGCTGTGGGTGGCATAGCAGGACACACAATCGCCATCCTGGGGTTCCTGCAGGACAAGTGTGTACGCAGCCCCGGCACCTACTGGCTGAGTCCTGATGCTCTTCAACCTGTCATTCAGGTTGGTGCGTGCAGCGTGTGCTGTGAGTGGCATGGCTCGCGCTCCTTCCTCCCCCATGCTGTGAGGTGACGGCGCGCTTGCGATTGTTGGGTTCCTGCAGCACAAGTGCGTGCGCAGCCCCAGAACCTACTGGATGAGTGAGTCCCACAGACTGCGATATGACACACTGGTCCCGCTTTGCACCTGATTGCACCTGATTGCACCTGATTGCACCTGAAAGAGCCGTCGCGTATAAGATCGGCAGCCATAGTTTTTCTCCAGTTGGTCCAGGAATAGAGGGGGGAAAGTGAGGCGGCACACTCCACCACCCCTCCGAACCCCTCTCTCCCCTCGCTTTCCCCCATACCCTTCCCCTCCCTTCAATTTCCCCTTCCCCTCCCCCCATCCCCTCTATTCCTCCCACCATTTTGCCCTCCTTCTCACCGCACCCCCCCATCCACCCTCTATCCAGCTCCGCAAGGAGGCAGGCGCTGCTGACGCGCTGCAGCTCTCCGTCGATTCCCTCGCTCTGTCCTTCCGCATGGCTATATTCCTCCCACCATTTCGTTCTCCGTCTCACCCCACCCCCTCCTCTCCCCCCTCTCTCCCTGCAGCTCCGCAAGGATGCAGGTACTGACGTGCTGCAGCTATTCGACCTCACTCCACCGCTCCAGAACCCATCTGCACCGCTCCGTCTCGCCCCCTCCCTCGCCACCGATCCCTCTGCGTCAGAATCAACAAGCAGCCATTTCAGCATGACCCCTGATGACATCAGTAGGGGCAGGCAGCACAGGGAGGCAGCAGGGAAGGCGGCAGGGGGGCGAGCAGGGGGAACAGCAGGGGATGCAGCAGCAGGGGAAACAGCAGGGGAGGCGGCAGGGGGCCTAGCGGGGCGAGCAGGTGTAAACTCCCCGCTGTCGTCTCTCGATCCAGCTGTAGCAGCACACCTCTCCCTTCCCCTCACCATGCTGCTCTATCGCCTGGCCCTTCACCTCTCCGACTCCCACGTGCCTCGGGATCGCCACAGGACGGCCCAGCTGTTTGGGTACTGCCTGCAGCTGCTGCACCAGAAAGACCACCCGGTAAGCCTTGATCGCCGCACTGCCCTTAGCGCCCCCTAGTGCCCTCTAGAGCATCCTCTCATAAGCTCTCCGTGTTGTTGCACAGCTGTTTGGGTAATGTCCGCAGGTTCTGCACCAGAAAGACCAACCGGTGAGTGCTGGTTAAAAGCCGTAGTTCCCAACCCCAAAACCTCGTGCCTCCCTTCCCTCCAGGGCCTGCGAGCAACAACCCATGAGTGCATGGCTCGATGCTTCCTGCAGATCCATCCTCCACCTTCCAGTTTTGAGACGTCTCAAAACGAGACGTCTCAAAACTAAAACTGCATGGCTCGATACTTCCTGCAGATCTATCCTCCACCTTCCTCACCTCCTCCTATCTTCACTTCCTGTGCCTCCAATCCCCCATCTCTGCCTTCTTCTTGCCTTTTACCACCCTCCAGGGCCTTCGAGCAACAGCACACGAGTACATGGCGCGCTTCTTCCTGCAGATCCCACACGACGAGCTTCCCTCTCTCCTCCAACCCTCGCACCTCCACTCCTCCCTCCTGCAACCTCGGCTTTCCCACCCCCCGCTCCTCCACTCGTCAGCTCCCCATACCACTCTCCCCTACCCTCCCATCCCCCCTTCCTCCCTCCTCCATCCCTCTCTGCAACCGTCACTCCCCCATCCCTCCTCGCTCCACCTCCCCCTCCTCCAACCAATCACGTTTTTACCCTCCCATCTGCCCCCTTCTAATCTCTTACCCTTCTCCGCTCCTTCCTCCGAACCTCCCTCTGCCCTCACCCAATCCTCTCGCCTCGCTATCACGTCTCCCGATGCTGCTGCTGCACCTGTGGATTCTCAACAATTGGCCATTGTTCCCAGGGGCGATACACACTTAGCTGTCGTTGCAAAAGCTGATCAGCCCTTGGCTGTGATTTGTCAAGCCAATCAGCAGCTGGTTATGGTTCCACAAGCCAATCAACATTCAGTTGTCACTCCTCAAACCAATCAGCAGCTGGCTGTGATTCCCCAACCCAATCAACATTCAGTTGTTACTCCTCAAACCAATCAGGAGCTGGCTGTGATTCGTCAAGCCAATCAGCACTTGGTTGTGATTCCCGCTTCGCCAAAGGACCAACAGCTGACAATCAGCTTGCAAGCAGTGCATGGGTCAGAGGTGGTTGTAGCACATGCATCAGGGGCAGCTGTAGTGAATGATTCAGTTGCACAGGAATCAAAGGTTGTGACAGCAGCTGAGCCAGGAGCAGCAGCAGCAGCAGAACCAGGTGCAGCAGCAACAGCAGAACCAGGAGCAGCAGCAACAGCAGCGGGACCAATATCCCCGATTTTGCCCCTTCCACCCTCTACAGTGGAGAATGCAGAGAGTGCAGTAGCAGAAACAGGAGCAGAGGCAGTAGCAGCAGCAGAGGCAAAAGGAGAAGGAGCAGAAGCAGCAGCAGGGGCAGAAGTAGCAGCAGGGGAGGAAGAAACTACAGGTGCAGGAGCAGCGACAGATTCACAAGCAGCACCAACACCAGAACCGCCGCTGCCAACCCGATTCCCTCCGCCTGCATTTGGTGATGCAGAGAGCGCAGTGGGACAATTCACAGCACAGGAAGAAGCAGCAGCAGAGGCGAAAGCAACAGCAGAGGCACAAGCAGCACCAAAGTCACAAACACCGCTGCCGGCCCGTTCCTCTCCGCCTGCCGTCGGTGATGCAGAGAGTGCAGTGGCAATCCGGCTGGCATCCGTATGGCATGCCACACAAGCAATCGGTGCGCTGAGGTGGCAGCGACACTTGCTGACTCACACCCAGGAGAGCCTAATGAACCCCCCTCTATCCCTGCTCCACAGCCTGAGAGCCTACTCTGCTTCTGGGATGTGTCTTTGTGGGGAATCCTGCTGCATTTCCCAAGGGTCTGGTGGGGTTTATAGGGATGGGAGGGCGTTTGGAGTGGTTGAGGAAGAGAGGAGGAGGAGCAAGGGGAAGGGGCGAAAGGGGGGGAAGGGGAGGGGAGGGCGTCGGAGGGGGAAGATGGAGGAGCAGGTGGGGATAGTGGGGGAGGGAGGGGAGGAAGAGGGGGAGGAGGAGGAAGGGAGGGAGGGGGATGAGGACGCACGCTCTTCCTGCTCCCTTGGTAGCACCTGTAGCAGCGTTGGCGCTGCCTCTGCTGGGTCTGCTGCTGCAGGTGTAACCAATGGCGGTGCGGTTACCATCAGCAGTGCGGTTACCAGCACTACTGCGGTTACTGATCAGCGCATTTGCAAGCTGATAGCCCTTCTAGGAGAAGCATATCTGGGCCTGGCAGAAGCTTATAAGGGGGATGGACAGGTGGGGAGGGCTTTAAGAGCCGCTGAGCTGGCGTGTGTGGTTGTGGGGGGTTGGCCGTGGGATCTGGAAGATCTAAGCTTGGGAGGGGAAGGGGAAGAGAGAGGAGTGGGAGGAGAGGGAGATGAGGAGAGGGAGGAGGGAGGGGAGGAGGGTAGGTTTCGGGGCTTGGAGGGATGGGGGGTTGGGGTTCAGGGGAGTGGAGGGGAGGATGGGGTTTCAGGCAACTTAGGCTTGCCAACCGCTAGGGAGGCTGGTGGTGGGAAGGAGGGAGGGAGGTCGGAAGAGGCAAGAGGGGCGAAAGGTGGGAAGAAGAAAGCGAAAGGGAGAGATCGGAAGCAGAAGAAGGGCGAAGGAGGCCCGGAGGGATCAGAAATTTCACTTGTAGCGAGTCAGACTGTGAAGGAGACGAGGGTGGAAGACAGGTTGAGACTGTCAGATTCTGGCTGTTCCACATCTGATGCTCCTGTGCCCCGTGCTGCAGCTGCCTCACGTTCTGTCACACCACGTACAGTCACACAGCATACAGTTACAAAATCTCTCAGTGGGGCTAAAGCCAAAGACGTTACAAAACCCACCCAGTCCGCTCGCAAGAATGAAAAGGGGGGCCGTGGGGCTAAATCTGGGGTGCCTAAAGGGGTGGGGGCGAGAAGAGGAGATGCAGCAGCAGCAGGAGGGGTGGTGGCAGGAGTGGGGGAGTCGGCAGGGTGGGAGGCGAGCATGTGGCTGTGCAGGCATGTGACTAGGAAGAGCTTTTGGGGTGAATTGTGGGAGCTGGTAGGAGATCTATATGTGGACCTAGAGACGAGGGTCGGAGTGGGTTCGGAGCCGGAGCAAGCTGCGAGGCTCGGTGACCTGAAGCAAGGGTCGAGGGTTGGCGAAGGGAGAAGGGAAGGAAGCAGTGTTGCACGGGCTGCAGCAGTGGCTGCAGAGGGAGAGGCGTCTGGGAGTGCTGAGTTGAGGATAGAGGAAGAAGTGGTGAGGGAGGTTAGACGGGTGAGGAAGAAGAGGAGGCAGAGGGAGGGCGGAAGTCAAGGGGTAGCAGGTGGAGGGGCAGGTGCAGGGGCAACAGCAGGGGCAGCAGATAATGGTCAGGAGACTGGTAGCAGGAGCAGGGGTGGTGTGGACAGTACTGTCTGTACCGTGTGTGGCCAGGGTGGCTGTAGCTGCTTGAATGAACGAGCAAGAAGGGAAGACGATGACTTGGCAGATGCATTTTCGTCATCATCATCATCATCATCATCATCATCATCATCAGTAGCACCATCAGCATCATCAGCACCATCAGCACCATCAGCATCAGCAGCCCTCCCCCCTGCCTCCTGCTCTGCAAACTGCTGGAAGAGCCGTTGTTTCGGCCGCCCATTCGTTCTCGACCCGAACGCCAACTACCAATCAGCAGCCGAGTTTTACTCCCGGGCAGCGGCTGCGTTCTCAGCCAATCACGACGCGCCAAGCAAGCAGGCGGTTATGAGGAAACGCGGATGGGCTTGTAACGAGCGCGGCCGATGGCTTCTCAACTCGTCTTCCTCATCGTCCCTCTCTTCCTCTGCATCCTCTCCCTCTCCACCTGCCACTACCCCACACGCCACCATAGCAGCAGCACGGGCAGCACTGGTGGCGGCGGCAGAGGCTTTCTGGGAGGCTGGTGATGCTCCCAATGCTGCTCTCGTGCTCTGCAATCTCGGGCACGGGGAGAGGGCAGATGCTGAGCTCCTGGCTGCTCCTGTTCTCATGCTCTCGGAGAAAGCTGGTGCTTCTGACGTCGGCTGTAATGCTGCTGGGTCTGCTCCTGATGCTGGTGCTGCTACTCCTGATTCTGATGCTGCTCTTGCAGGGTCTGCAGCAGGTGTTAACAATGATGGTAGTGGGTCGGACAATGCTGGTGCTGGTGCAGAGTTGCTGGGCAAGTTTGAGAGAGCGAGGCAGAGGTATATGCGTGCCTTGGGGTGGTATGGGGATGCACGAAGAGAGCTGATGAGGAGTGTGGGGGAAGCTAAGGCTGATGGCGCGGCTGGTGCTGCTGATAGTAGTCAGGGGGGAGGAGCAGGAGGAGCAGGAGGAGGGGCAGTTGGGCTTGGAGTGGGGGTTGGGAGTGAGGCAGCAGCAGCGCGGGCGTATGGGGTGGTCTGGAGCGAGGTGAATCTGCAATTCGCCCACACTTACCTAAGAGTCGGCATGCTTATGGCAGCTGCTGAACGCCTGGGCCTTCCAACAATTCCTGCTGGGAGCAGGAGAGAGAATGAGGACAGTTCAATCCGGTTCAGCGGAGGGAGGGTGGAGAACGAGGGAGTGGGTGGGGATGGAGTGAGGGAGGAAAAGGTGGGGGAGACAGGGGAGGGGAGTGAGGGGAGTGAGTGGGAGTGGGAGGTGAGAGGGTATGTTTCGGCTAAGGATGCTTTGATTAAGGCTCTGATTTTGTATGAGTCGCTTGGGGAGAGCAGACAGCAAGAGGCTGCCTTTGCTCACTTCCACCTTGGGAATTACCACAGGGATTGTGCCCTGCGTGCTGCTGCTACTGGTGATGCTTCTATCGGTGATGCTGCTGCTGGTGGTAACTCTGCCTTTGGTTCTGCTGGTGTTGAGCTCAGTGCAAGGAAAGGAGGGGGAGCTGGGGCAGGAGTAGCAGGGGGTGTGGCGGCATGGCAGCAGCAGCAGAGGCGAATGGCAGCATTAGCAGAGGTGCATTGGCACAAGGCAGTGTGCTTCTATCGAGCGGATGCGCATCTGGACATGTTTGTGACTTTATGCATGGAGAGGGCGAGCCTTGCCTTTTCTTTGGGCGGGCAGAAGCAGCAATGGCAGGTATGGTCTTCAAGAGGGTTGAATTTTGAGTCAACTCGGAAGTCAACCCAGGGGCAGTAGTGGCAGGTGTGTTCTTAATGCGAGTGCATTGTGGTGTGTGCATACCGTCATGTTTGTGACTGTATGCATTAAGAATGTGGGGCTGCCGTTTGGTTTGGGGGGACATCAGCAGCATCGGCAGTGGCAGCAGTGGCAGGTTTTGTTCAAGAGGGTGCATTGCATTGTGGTGTGCGCATCCACACATGTTTGTGGCTATATACATGGAGAGGGCAGGGCTTACCTTTGCTTTGGGCGGCCAGAAGCAGCAGTGGCAGGTATGATTTGAGAAAGGCTGCATTCAGCTGGCTGGCAAATGCCTGCATGTTTGTGAGGAAAACACATTTTTGCTTGGAGAGAGGAGAACTGGCTGGTTTCACTGGGTTGGGAGAGCAGCATCAGCAGTGGTAGGTGAACCGTGATGCCAAGCTGATATGAGCTGCCACAGCTGTGATGTGAGAATCTTTGAGTGTCAAGCTTGTTCTCCTCCCCACCCCTACCCTCCCCTGTGTTCCAACAGAGCCACCCGCAGCTTTGAGACACATCATGGTAGCACAGGCTGCGGTATCACTTTAGGAGTCGAGAACAAAACACTTGGCTGCTCCTCATCTCATCTCCTCCCCTCTCTCCCCTCCCCTCGCCTCCCCTCCCACCAGAGCCACCCCGCAGTCTATGACACCTAATTGCAGCACAGGCTATGCTATCACCACTCTCAGGCCCCACTTACCAGATGACCCTATTCCCCCCTCTCTTCTCACCCTTTTTCCCTCTCCTTTCCCCCCTTCCTGCCTCTACCAGAGTCATCTCACAGCTCTGAGGTACCTCATGGCAGCACAGGCCGCGCTATCACCACCCCCAGGCCCCAGTTCCTCCCCGGTTCCCGATTCCAAAACCACTGAGGCCTCAAAGCAAGCTCACTCTAAGGCTTCCCCTCTTTACAGTCACACAGCAGAGAGGCTGTGCCATCTCGTACAGTCACACCTGAAGGCGTTGCTCAGCCTTGCCCTGTCACTTTCATGCCATGGTGGTGGGAGGAAAGCGGGTGCTGGTACGAGTGCAACAGCCTTAGGGATTGGAAGTTCTGGCGAGAAATTTGTGGGAGTGGAATCGAGTGATAGTGGGAAGGGTGCTGGCAAGGGCAGTGTGGTTGATGTGCTTCGAGAGGCTTACAGATGCGCTCTGAAGCTGGATAGGTGTGCTCTGGACTTGCATTCAATAGCTGTATTGGTTGCGCATCTACAGTGATGCCATTGTTTAATGCTACATCTAGTGCCTTCTTATGTGTCGTTCCCGTAAGGGCTTCTCACACTGGTCTTTTTGTGGGATGGACCATTTTGTGCCAACACCTGTTCAGTGATAAAAGTGAAGGTGTACTAGTGTGCAGAAAAACATCCAAAAGCGGTCTGCGGAAAAACTTCTAAAGATGATCAGGACGAAAGTGTTAGCGAAGCGAGTTGGTGGACTGCTGTTACCACCAGAGAAAGGGCCGTTGTGAGGGTGTATTTCAGTTCGGGTCATAGAGGCCCACTTCTGGTCATATAGGCCCTGTTCGACTGGCGCATCAGTGGTGAGGCTCGGGTACCAGCTCAGGTTCGGATGTGGTGCTCGGGGACCAGCTCAGGTTCGGGTGTGGTGCTCGAACGAGAGGTAGTGGTTTGGGGTTTGTCAAATTGGTCCAATTCGTCTGTCAAGTTTGTCAAACAAGGTGGGTGTTCGACTTTTACAGAGCGGGCAGTTGTGTGGGGAAAGTTTGACAAACTCGGGGGGTGTTCAACTTGGCGGGCACCTAATGCTGCCCTGCATCAGCAGGTGCGCGCATGGTGCTAGCTCTCCACGATGCACCATGCGCGCGTCAGTGGTGCGTCGGTTAGCCAGGAGATGATGGTTCCGGGAACGCACATTTGGTTCCCAAACCGGGGGCCAAAAAGGGTGTTCGGCTGGCATCATGCACCAGTTCGCTTCGGTGCTCATGCGCCTATCCCAGACCCGAGTCAGCATATCCCAGATCCGAGTCAGCTGTTGTCAGCTTATCTCAGAAGCTTCGAGGGAGCACGCTTTACCGTGGCCGGTGTTGAAAAGAAGCAATTTAACGCTCCTGTTGTGTCGAAACAATAGACTACAAACGAGGCGAATCACAGCGGAGCAACGGCGAGTCAACTGAGGAGGTTGGCAGAAAGTAACAGCTGGAGGTTACGCGAAGGTCAAAGGTCGCTGACCTTTGACTCGACGAAATACAGCGCGACAGCAAGGACAAACAACTGACTCGGTATTGAGCAGTCGCCCGAGTTGTCACTGTATCGATCCGCAACAGCAAACCAGTTAGTTGCACCTTTTCGTATTCCTTGTAATCTTATAAAAGCCTTTGTATTACCTTGCTATAATCAATCTCTTGTTCTCACACACTAGTGCAAGTTGGTTCAACAAGTTCACTAAGAACGCTTCCGCAATTACAGCATTCCTACTCAGGGTCTTAGCCTTGAAAGATCCTGAGGGCTTTTATCAGCCCAACATGGTATGAGAGCTACAAGGCAAGATCCAACTTCATTTTAATCTTCTACAACATCACAAAGCATGGCAACGCAAAAGGAGAGAAGCTCTTCTAACGGCTCCCCCGGCACTACATCTACTCCATCTCCAGCCTCTGGCCTACAGACGGAAGGAGGCACAGCGACAAGACCAGCAGCTGAGTCTACTGAAACTCCTGCTAACCAGGCAGCAAGCCTCGACCCAAGCATGATGGAGAAATTCTTCTCCTTCATGTCCTTCTACGAGCAGCACCAGCAAGCAGCACCTGCGCAATCAAACAACAGCGACAACAACAATAGGGTTACTCCAATGAGCCTTGACGGTTCATCCTATGCGCGCGGAAACCAGCAGCAACCTACCTTTGCCTCGTACGAACCTCAACGTGGCTCCATCAACTTCACGCCACACCAACAGCCTTCACCTGGACAAGAGAAGACACTTGACGCGCTTCAGGTTCAATCACAGTTCGCACACGTTTTGAAACTGCAGACATCGACACCCTTTGACGGAAAGGACTTCTATACCTAGTCGTTTGAGTTTGAGCTAATGATGGAAGGCGCGCAGATTCTCGGATTCTTCGACGGATCCCTGCCATACCCAACACACAGGACGCAATATGACAAACAACAGTACACGTATCAGTCTCTGATGGCGTATACAGTTCTTCTGCGAAACATAACTCCGAACGAACAGCAGAACATCCGGTCTTATCGAAGGTACGGCAACTCCGCCGAGCTCGCGTACAACCACATGAAGAACATGTATCAAGCAACAGACTGTGTTAATCAAAGTCGTCTCATGGCACAACTGACAACAGTGGAAATGAAACCCGGCAAAAAAAGGATGGCGTGTATCAGCCGTTGTCGTGGACTGCGCGACAGACTCCTTCGATGCGGAGGATCGATATCCGAAGAAGCCTTCGTGACAGTTGTCATCACTGGCCTCGGTCCTCATTGGCGCTCCACTCGAGCTATCCTCCGAGCTCACGGGAAGATCTCCGAAGCGGCACTCTGCGCCGAAATTCACGCTGAACAGCAGGACATGGACCTACATGAAGAACGACACAAGAAGAGAGCGTCAGCACCAGATTTCGCGTTTCACACTCAACGGCGCTACAACAACAACACCAATCGACAGAACAAACATCAAGCTCAACAGTACGTACCACCGTTCTGCCATCTCTGCAAGACGTCAGGATACCCTCGCACACACTGCCCGAATCAGCAGCAGTCATCGCCGCCGCAACGTCAAGTTCGACCCTCAAGCAGTCAAGTTGCTTCTACACAAGCGCATCCCACCAATCAAGTACAGTCCTCAACGACATCGACGACAAAACCTGCATAAGGCGCAAGAAACATCGTAAGCTGCATGGCAAGAACAACAGACTCCTGCATCACCGGATCGCCATGTCAAATTATAAGTTTACTACTATCTAGGCTGTAGTGGGTTTAGCCTTAGGGGGTACAGTAAATTGCTCGACACTTCATTGTATCCCCCTCCCTGCCCTGATCCCATTCATTCTTTCTCGACATTTTCCTCCTTCTCAAACTCTCTCGACATTGAACCCTAGCATGGTTCCTACCCTCACTATAGCTACTATTCTAACACGCCACCATACTACTCAGTAGAAGAACAACTCCACGAAAGCACCCCTCGCCGTGAATTATTGGAGCTCAACCCGACGTACGCAGCCATTGCCCAGAGCGAGCCGTCCGGGAAAGACACCTGGTTCTTGGACAGCTGCTGCGGACAACACATGTGCTCATCGGGTCGCTTCGTTCAACGGGAACATCAACTTCAGCGCGAAGTCGTAATCACCGTCGCCAACAACCAGAACCTGCGCACACAACGACAAGGGATAGTTCAACTGCAGACTCGAGAAACCAATGTTATCCTGCAGATGTCAAAGGTTTTAATCGCAAAAGGACTCGGCTATAACTTACTAAGCGTCAGTCAACTAATGGCAAAGGGAATCCATCTCGAAGCAGACAGCACCACCCAGGAGTTCAAGTTGTACCACGGGAAGGGTGGACTCTACATCGGCAAAGCAGTCTTGAAGAACAATGTCTTCGTTCTTGACTTCGTTCCAGACCAAGGCACCGCCGACAGCGACGCAATCGTCAACTTCACCTCCTGGACACACCCGCCAGATCTCGACCCCGACTTTAGTCCTGAAGGCTTCTTGTACTCACACACTATACCTGAATCAGAACGAACGAGAGCGTTAGTGACAGTCCAACAAACAGCAGCGACAACATCGGCAGCAGCAGAGACGACATCAGTAACAGCAGAAACAACATCGGCAGCAGCAGAGACAACACCGGCAGCAGTAGAGGCAACACCGACTACAACACCAATCGCGGGTCCTTCAACGGCACCAGCTCTCATCGACGATACTCCATCGACTCTTGCACAGCAGTTGACTCCCACTCCACGCGAAGTTCACAGAAGCGCCAACCTCACCACGGGATTTTACTCTAACTCTGACCTGTACAGGCGATCACCCAGACATCGCGCTAGCGAATCAATCTGGCACGCAAGGATGGGACACCCGAGCAATACAACGTTAAACAACACGATAAGAGCTGGAGTACTCGACAAGGACTCACTGCTTCTACATGACGGCAGGGAACTCCAGCGAGTTCGCGGAACATGTTTTACCTGCCCCAAAGCCTATTACCCCATCAGCCATTCGTCTCTCACCACAACCCGAGCGCACCTGCATACACACCACTGGAGAAGGTTTACAGCGACATATTGTTCGACCGCGAAAGTGGACAATGAGCCTACAACTACGTTATCACGTTCATCGACGCCGCCACCCGATACGTCTGGCACCTCAACCTTCCGAGCCGCGACATGGCTTTCCAAGCCTTCGTCGCCTGGCTTCCAGTAGCAGAACGGGAATCAGGAGTGAAACTGAAAAGTTTCCAGTCAGACGGAGGAGGAGAATACCAGTCACAGCGATTCACGCAGTACCTGGCAGAGAGAGGCATCAAGCGACTCATCTCACTCCCTTACGCCCATCAACAACAAGGCGTGGCAGAAAGAATGAACAGGACCCTCTAGAACACCATGTGCAAACTACTACGCGGCATGCGACTACCCAACCACCAGTGGCCCAAGGCGATGGACCACGCTGTCATGTTGCACAACTTGCTCTCGTCATCATCACTCCCGAACAACGCATCACCGCATCTGCTGTGGACAGGAAAATTGGGCAACACAAAAATGTTACGAGAATTCAGCTGCATGGTACAGTACCGACCCCCAGCTGCACAAGCCGACCAATTCTCCCAACGCGCACAGTCGGGACTACACCTGGGCATCGAAAAACACTACAACGCATGGAAGATTTTTTACGTCCACACAAAGGAAACAGTAGCAGCACAAGATGTCATTTTCTACGAGCGACTCACACTTCAAACGTACCTGGACAACCTGGAAGCAGAACGAGATGTCACGGGCGGTTTTCATGGGGACTGAGCCTTCGCTTCGGCAGCAGATGAAGCTGACTGGGACGAGCAGAACGTGGACGGAGCTTCGGAGGAAGCCGGACATCTTCCGTACTGCTCAGTGGACATTCCCATGGACGACGACAACCCTCGCGAAAGTGTCAACGCCGAAGTCTACTACGACTTCGCCGACAACGGTTACGTTACACCCCAACCGGTCGACACCAACGTCTTCGAACGCATAGGGCCCAACTTCTTACCTGA